AATTATCCCATTCTCCCCCCCCCCCCCCCGCCCCAAAGAGGTAGTTTTACCCTGTAGCCATATGCCCCTTTAACACCACACCACCTCTCTCAAAATCGTCCCTAGTTTTTTGCCCTCCTAAGAACAGGGCAGTAATTATTCTTTGTTCCCTGCTGCATCTCAATGGGCATAAGAAAAACCTTAGTAGTGACATCATTTCCTTTTCACTTTCTAAACAGTAACAGTTCTTATACACAGCTTTAAATCAAAATATGACATGTCACATTCATTCACACATTTCCATAATGACATAACAGTCCAAGTAAGAACCCAAAATTTAAAATACCTAGCCTCCTGAATATATTCTCTTTCACTATACTTCTTCTCTACCCCCAAAATTTCTTCTTTCACAGACCCTCCCCAAAAGACAATAATACAAATACACATAAATATTTATAGGTAAATAATACTTATCTCTTGATTTGTACTTATACTGCTAGATATACCATTATTTATTTACAAAATACATTAATTTGCTGTATCCCATACTATCTAATTGTATTTCGACTGTCTGATGTTAGGGTGGACAAAATCCTGAATTAAAGAAATCTTTAAAACAATAAACTATATTTAATTATTATACAAGGAAAATAATTCACATATATCACTAAAATGACATGAAGCCAAACTCCCTCTCCTTATTTGCAAACATTCTATAGATTATAAGATACACTGCAAATAACTGAGTGTCTGTAACACACAATAAAAATGAATGCACAACCAAAACACAAAAATGCTCAACAATAATTGCTGTATAGTGTCACACATAATATCATTTTCCATCCTTCAAAGGCAGTACTAATTAGAATATTAGGTTGCAAGGCTGGATTTAGTCAGTCAATACCATGTTCTCCCATTCCATTGAATAACCTTGTATTCAGACCTTTTTCTGAGACATCTGCTATATATGCTTCTGCAACAACTGTTTCAAGAAATGAAATCAAAATCCTCCTTAAAAACATACCTTTTTAGAAAAAAACCCAAACTAACATCTAATTAAGAAGTTACTATACCTTTAATTAGCATGAGATACTGTAAACAACCAAAAAGCTCAATACATATCAGTTAAAGTAAGCATAATATATTTTAATGAGTACAATCTCAAAAAGTGCATTTAAGTAAGCCAAAAGAAATGCCCCTTTTCCCATTCACTTTTTTCCTCTCTTGCATTTTCTAAAAATCTGCAATTAAGCATATATTATTATAAGGTATTTCTGAACTGCACACAGATCTTGTATGACATAAAATAAAGACAGCAACATGTGAGATGTGACCAACTGCTACAACACAATGTTTAAACAAGCTCTGTTTTACAACCTTTCTTTTCTGTTGCCCAGTTATAAAAACAGATAAAGCACTGATACACCTCAAGTAAGTGTTTGTATTTGATTAAGCATGGCTTACAAATTACTTTGGAGAACCTAAACTGAAGTGGCCTATAAAATTCATCATATCCATAGAAAAGACACATTCTTATGCCACTTTATGCAGCCCTGAATCATGTCTGTCTTAGATAAGCGGGTGATATGTTGCCAGTAGTTTACTGTTCATATAGAGAGAAGCACTGGGAGCGAGGAAAAAAAAAAAAGTCCACAAAAGAAACAAACAAAAGACCTTTGGAAAAGGCTTGTTCAGAGATTCAAGCTTCACTTAACAAATGATTTGCATTTAAGGATGATTTAACATGCTTTTACTGCCAATTTATGACTAGCTATTTCTAGGTAAACCACAGCTGAATTTTCTTCAGAGGTCATAAGGATGCATTTTCAAGTGTAAGCTTTGCTACTTCATCACACAAAGTACCTGTACTTCTGAATGGCAAATGAACACCTGGGGTCTAGGACACAGTGGGCTATGATTTTCTGACCAAAGCAACCCAGGATTAACTAAAGATTAGATGAGAGTCAAGGAGAATGCCTGGCCCATACAACACTGGGAATTTCTCCCATCTAAATCAGAGTATCGGTATATTACCAGGAGGCTAAAGAGCAACAGTACTGAAAGTTGTTCAGCTGTCAAAGTATCCAAATCAAAGCTTTATTGATTCTTCCTTACAGTTTTCAGTAACTAGTATGATAGCACAGGGCCCTCCTCCTTAAATTTCACATCTAGGCATCACACTTTCCCTTCTGCTTAACCTTCCCTTTGTGGTTTAAAATGTGTATTCTCTGGTCTGCCTGTTGTTTAATACTGATGTATACTGATAAATGACCACTTACCATATTCTGCAGAGGACAGCATTCAACAGGGGATGGAATTAACCCTGTTTTCTTGTACCGTAGTTAGGAAGGTAAAACAGGATTTGATATACCTGTTATTTCCTTTGGGTTTTGAGGCAAAGCATAACAGGTTTTAATTTGTAAAAAAAATTATACTTTTTTAATCAAAGGAAAAAGAACAATTTATATTTATAAAACATTTACAAAAACGTATATATTTTATACAAGAAAGTATATTGGCTACTGAGGGCAGAAGACAGTGGGATGATGAGCTGTCACTGCAGCATCAGTATTCATTAACCACACAGTAGCTTTTTGCTATTCATTCAAAACAAGTAAGAACACAGAAAGAGATAATGAATATCTAAGTACAAGAAAAAGGCAGTAGGGTAAAGGAAACGAAAAAAGTCCTACTGGAGAAGTTTCATGTGCTTACAGAGACGACAAAAAGAATGAACTGAGTTGTATCTTTTCTATAACTTGGAGCTGGGATAACTTGAAAAATTTTCAAGATGTCAACTGCTGGCAGAGGTTTCCTCCTCCTCAGTGGTAAGGAGGTCAGCTCTACCTTGTGAAAGGGAAAATGGATTTTTGTGTAATGAAGCAAACATCGCATTCATCAACCATTTAAATCAAGTTTTCCATTCAAAACCTATTGATTTTAAAGCCTCTGTTAGCCAAAAGTGCACAGGCTCTTAAATGTTTTGAGAATCTTAAAGGGCAACATAGAAAAAGGTCGATTAAAAATAATCTTTTTATGTTGTTTGTATTTTAAAAGCTCCTACAACAAAATTAATAAAGTTTTGGTTTTTTGTTTGGTTTGGGTTTTTTTGTGTGGGTTTTATTTTTTTTTACTTTATATATTGGTTGGATGATTCAGACTCAATATTATAAGCTAGAGACTTTGAGAAAACAAAAGAACCTATTATACATGACCTATTAAATTTCAGAGAGAAATTAAAAAAAAAGAAAACATCATCATCTGTAGAGAAAAACAGAAGCCATTCCCTAGCGAGGTCACCATCCCATAGGAAGCTCCTTGATCATGAGATGCCTTCTGAACACAGCTAAGAGAGAAGCTTTGAAAATATGCAAATCCTCCTCGAAGTGCCTTTTCTGGTGCCAGCTCTTCAGAAAAAGAGATTATGTCCACCCTGTCACAGAGAAGGCTTTTCTCTGAAAACTATGCAGAGCTTGTTGAAACTCCCAAAGATTGAATCTTGGTATCAGGTGCCCCTTATGAAATAGCGTGTCCTGTCACCTCAGGCTCCCTGGCTTCATTCTGGCCATTTCTGCAGCATGAGACCCCAGCCACCCCAGTCGCTCAGGCAGGGTGGTCCAAGCCAGCCTCAGCAACATCCTGCTACCTCTGAGGACCCTGCAACAATCACTACACTATCGAAGACTTTAGAGTAAATGGAGGTTCTGCTTCTCTGGATGTGATGAGAGCTTTTCTATCCTCATCAAATGTTACATGTAAATTGTCATGAGGAATTCTGGTTGACAGCCAGCTTTCCTAGCAAGATCAACATTATTGCCCAGGATCCATCACTCCTTTCACATGCTATGTAGGAGGAATGGTGTGCTCTTGTTTAATATCTACATATCTATTTAAAATTACTATTACTTACAAATGCCCTGTACTTCCATTAAATACAGCATTTTGGAGGAAAAGTGTTAAAGTCTGGCAATGTAAATAAGACACAAAGAAAGGAAATGCTCCCAAAGAAGGAGAAAAATTGGTGCCTGTTTCACTTACCATTTTCTCCAGCAGGTACTGTTACAGGATGTGTTGGCACAGTATCAGAATTCACTTTTCCATTCTCAAATGTATCATTTTCAGTTTGCTGCAACTGCCAGTTGAGGCCAAACAGATGCATTGCTGGTGGTAAAGGATATAGGTTATTTGATGCTCTTAACCACAATGACAAATCACACAAATAATGGCTTTCCATGCTTCGCAGCAGAATAGCAACTCATACATTAAAAAATTAAATTACAGGAACAAGCATTCACAGACTAATAGTTCAGCTTAGCAATGGCACTGAGCAATTACTACCACTGTCCTTTAATGATACAGTGCTTTCGCTGAACGCAGTTGACAGAAAGCTCACTAGTCTCATTTTGAGTCTTTTACCGGTCCCAAATCAATGTTCAAAAGGATAGGCAGTAATTATGTCCTTTTCTCTTTTTTCATTTTTGATCCTTCTGAAGAGACAAATCATTACAGTGACCTCCTAAATGACCTACTAAAATAAATAATTTCACCAGCAGATGGATCCGTCCTGGTTAGCCAGAAAGGAAAAAGAAACAGCGCAGGAGGAGAGGAAGGAGAGCGCTGTGGGTGTTGCAGGGCTAACCTAAGACATGGACATCCCTTTTCATGCTGTCACCAACACTCCGTGCAACCTCAAGCTACGTGCCCGTTCCCCACGCTAGTCTACAGAATGAGGCCAAGACCATTAGCAGAGCTGGGGACACTGGGGCACTTTGCCCTGATAATGATAATGCGTAAGCTAGGTTTCTGAACTACTTAATTCCCCACAACCATGTTTATTAGAAAGGTGATGCCATGTCAAAAAGTTTAGTGAAGTTAATTATGAAAGACAGAGTCAACCTTCCATGGTGTTAGGGGGAACTACTTAAGGAAACTGGCTATCACCAGGGATTAATGAATTAACTTCCTCGTCTAAACTTTTAGAGCAAAAACAAGGAAAAGAAAAACCACCTTAACGCTATACTGTGATACACATAACATATGTAATTTTTTGCTATCTGTGGTGTATTTCCTTCTCTTCCAATGACTCTATGATACCATCAAAATTAATTTTTTTGTAATTACTCTTATTTGCATTTGGTATAACATGGGTTTGCTCATTCCATGACAGTTATGTCCAAAGCTAAAATAGTCTTTCAGTCCTACTGGGGAGTTAAAATACATTGGCAAAAAATTCTGTAATACTGTACTTTAACTATTAGTGCAAAATGTAAGGAAGATAATTCACTGTGTCTTGTTGCTTCTGCTCCTTCTGTCTCTGAAACAGGTCACTGCTATAGTCGATGTTATTAATTTACGTATTCCTTCTATCCAAATGACATCCCTTCATCCCTTTTGATTTCATCTCTGATCTTTCAATCTCTCTGTATTGACCATGGCAACCCTTGCTTAAGACAAACAGGCACCAGTGGAAGTTTCGTCAGGCAGACAGCAAACACTGCAGAATTAAGACCCTCTCTGGCAGGTCTTTGCCTTAAACCCTCTCTCTTACCCTCAACAAACCAAAAAAACAGAATGCAACCGAAGACCTATTACTGAATGCTTCAAAGACTGAAATCCTCACTACAGCTGACATATTCTCTTTGTTCCAAGTCTCCGACTCTACTATTACTCTTCTTTCTCAGACCTTAAATTGCCTGTCAAAGCCTGATAATGTAGAATGTTCCCTGACCCTAAAACCTTATTTCTTCCCCCCCCCTCTCATCTCTTGTTAAACCATAAATCCGACCACCACCATTTTTTGGCACATCACTAGAATTAGCCATTATTATTTTGGCCCTACCTCAGCTGAAATTCTTATTTATGTATTAATCATCTGATGATTGTATCTGGTTTAATATATTTCATCAAAATCCCTAGGGTCAAACACTACTATGTGTTATACTAGTTCACTTCACTGGCAGCAATGGAAGACTACAAACAGCTAAATATTTCATGGTTCAAACCTAGTACATTTCTTGTCTTCAGTCTGGAGGTCTAAATCACCTCTCCTAACTTTGCTGGCTTCTTATCACTTTTAATACTCTTCAGGAGAAAAAAAGAAAGTGACATTTATTTTGTAACTCTGGAAGTGCAACCCTTCCAAACACATGAGCTTAGAACATCATTAACAGCTCAGTCTGCTGGTGCTATGTACATGCCCTGTGCCTCTTCATGCTCCACAGGGAGATCAGAAGGGGAAGCTCTGACATGACCTTCTAGCCATTGCCTCATAATTCAAAACAGCTGGAATTTGAAGTCTTCAAAGGCAAGGACTGTGGGATCTATATTGATTACATCTCAAAGAACCACAGTTACTACAAGGTAAGTGACAATTACCTTTCCTTTGTGCTGATGTAAGTCCCACTGTAGTTCACTGTCAAGGATGGTGAGTAATAGTTGTATCCCTCAAAAATACTATTGCTCTCTCAACTTTGACACCGAACTAGCACCAAGTTCCATAAACAATGTCTAATACAAATGAACAGATGGATACATGCAGCTGTTTCACAGATTGTGAATATTGGAACATTTTTGAAGCAGACCAAAAATGTTTCTTGACAACTCCAATGACAACCCAAAACTTACAGTGTGTACTAATACACTAAGTAATTCAACTATGTAATCTCTCTGAGACAGCAGTATGGAATTTAGAGAATTCTCCTTTCACTACAAACATATGAGAACAACATGAAAGAATTAGGTTTGTTGACACAGGATCAAAATACAAGGCACAGTTTCTTTAGAGACGGGGAACTTTAAGAACATGGATAAAGTGACTGATTAACACAAATTCAGGTACTATTTTGTGGATTAAGATTGGTTTTTTCTCAGCCAGCCATCTACATAAAAGCAAACTTTATGCCCTTATCAATGTTATAAGAATAGTGAGGCACCTATTAAAAATTCTTGATCTCCCTTGTGTCTGATAAGCAGCACCTGGTACTGGTAACTGCACACTGAGCCCATACCTCAGCAGAGGGTCTGAGACCTTCAAGTCAAATATTATGAACTATTTCTGAATTTCCAGAGGGGGAATGATGCAGGCACACTGCAGAGGTAGATATGCTTGTTTGATTTCCTCAGGTCTAGAAAAGGATGAAGGCTTTCTTCCACCTTTGGGATGCAAGAGTTCAATCCCCTTCTCTGTTTCTATTATGCTCAGAGAAATGGCAGGTTTACTTCTTTCTATAAAGAAGCAAAATTAAAGCAAAAACATATAAAGCAAAATATATTTCTCTATTCTCAGCTTCTATTTTAGTCCCAAATCTATTGTGAAGCAGTTTCTTAACTTTTGGATTAGATATTGCCTGTCAGGTCTGGTTTATTCCCATTCAATTTGGCATCTATTTTGTGTTAGACAATGACAATGAAGACAAGAGACCCTTCCTAGAGTAGTTCTGAGCCTGCCAAATCTATGAGGGTACTAACATTGGGACAACTTTCAATACTGGCATATCTCTGATGGCAGCAAGGACTTGTCTGAGGATGCCAGATGCCTCTAAGCAGAAGGCAGGCAGCTTGTGATGGTTGTGGTCACAGACCACAACAACTCAATCCAAATAACCCACAGCTGCAAGCATGCATGAAGCCTCAGGGGATGGGAGAAAAGACAGGTTGTCACAATTCCAAATGTGCCCACAAACCCTAACAAAAGCCTCTTTTTACTTGTATCAAGACTGGGATGATTGCTCCCATCATGGAACAGGATGACTTTTTAAGCAGAGAAACAGATGATGATATCCTCTGCCTATTCTGCTGTTAGATCGGTCCCCATCTCTACTCTGCAAAGTAATCTCTAGCTACCAACAGATCTTCACTTGCTGGAGTTAAGACAGCATTTTACCTTGGGACTGACAGAGTTGTTTAAGATGGTATTTGTACCATTGTACCGGTCAAGTTATCAGCATTATGGCCAACCTTTAGAGCGCGGTGATGGCGTAAACGGTGAGAACTCCATTCCCTCTAAGAGAGAGGGAACGAGAGGCATCAGAGAGGACAAAGTCCTCTAGGATCTGTGCTGCTCTTGGCATGAACACAGCACCAGTGTCTGGGTGGTGCTGGTGGATATGGCCGAATTCTCCAGAACAATCTCAAACATACAAGCAGTAACCAAACTAACAGTTGGGCTTTTGCCCGCCGCTCCCTTTATATTTCTGCAAAGCAGAATGTGCCAAGTGGACTGGGATATTCAAAAGATTCAGAGCTCAGATTAAAGGAGTGCATTTATACCTACAGTAGCATTGATAAACATAAAAATGGTACCATTTGTTAGAGGCTATCAGGTAATCTTACCATCTGTCCCCACAGAGTTCACTGAAGGGTTTCTGAACCACCTTAAACTGCTTTTTCAAGCTTGGTTGATCTTACCTTTCACTGTGTAATTGAGGTCTAGTTATTTTGGTTTGTAATCAGTCTACAAGGCCTTCATTTCCACTCAGTAAGTAAAACAGCAACTAAGAATACATTTCACAGTAAACACTTGAAAAAAATCTTATGACTAGTTTAAATACTGTAAAACATTTCACAATAAATCTGCTTCAGGAAGAAGTTGCCGCTATCAGGCCCTTTCATTCTTTTCCGTTGCCAGCCCATTTGTCTTGCATGCTCAAGCTAGTATTGCTGGGCTTTATGCATTCTCTTTACAAGGAACTTGTTCTTGAGCAAACACACTGTATTATCACTTCAAAACCCTCTTCGAGACTTTCTTCAGCAAGCCAAAAAGAAATCAGCCCCTTTATTAGTAGGTGGTAGAGAGATGGATAATTTACGTAACTACATGGCAGAACTAGAACTGTGAGAGCTGACAACTACCTGCTGCATTCGACTGGGGGCTGCTTTCCCTTCGCTGCCTTGCTCGCTAGCGCAACGCTTTCTTCTGCCAAAGTTGTGAGAGGCACAAAAAAGAATTGTAACAGAAAACCAATTTATGTAGTTATTTCTCCATTTAGCAAAAACTGGGCTTGTCTGGATTTTTTTTTCTTTTCTCCTCATACACTTGAATAGTAAGAACCTAGTGACAGCTAGTTGATAAAGAAATTAGACAAGTGTTAGCATCCTCCAGTATCCAGGATATAGTTCTGAACAGAAAATAAAGTTTGGACACAGATATGAATATACACA